GGACTACTTTGTCGATCATCTTGGTACTTTTCTGGACCTTGAACATGGTAGTTACCTTGCTGTCAATGGGAGGGTCAGAGAGCCCTCAGATTTAATCAAAAATATCTTAAATTGTGTTCCGAAGATGAACGAAGGTCTTGCTGGTTTCGAACAACACGAGGGTGAGTAATTAATGACAAGATTTTTCATTTTTGGGTGAACTAACCCTTTAATGGCATTATATTGTTCATTCAGACTCATTTGTGAAAGCGGAACGCGCACAAACACAAGAGGCGGGATTTATCGCATGAACCAAACATAGCCAATCATAACCAGTCATATCCAATCATATCGCGATGGAGGCATTGTCTCCTCTCACGTGACTTTCCCCCATTCATTCTCCCCAAACTCACCACACGCTTTATGGGGTCTGTTAAAACTCAATGGGCTTAGGGGAGGCGAGAGAGATGCGGGCTTCCGCTGTAACTTTACCTGCTGGTGTCGCTGTTGGACAGTTAATTTTGTTTTTAAATATTCCTATTTTACTTTTTTTATTTCAGTTTTAGTAATTTTAAACCTTTTCAATTGCTTTTCTAATTTTCTTCTAATTTATATTTTATTTTATTTCAGCTTTATTTTAATGAACCAAAATGATTTTAATTAATAATATGAAATAATAATAAAATTGGAATTAACTGAGTTATCAGTAATAAAACTGGTGCCTTCAGTGCTTTTTAAAGCCATGGGTAAGACAGATTGCATATGATCCTTAAATAGACCAGCGCCACCATTCAGTCACATTCATCTCTGCAGTGAATCTATTGGGGTACAGCCATTTTACTTGTATTTTAAGTTGCAGGTGGCTTATAAGCCTTTTTGTTGAACTCTTCCTAAATGTTTTAAAGGGGGCGGATGTGGAGGGAAACATGTGCACTCTGCCTCGCCCTTCGTGCTAATGAAGATTGTTAGAATTTATAGCAAACATGATTTTATCACCTCGTCAAGGCTTGTAGCCAGACGCTCCGACATCAGTGCTGCCGATGGTGTAAACTTACTTACACTTTTTAGGTTATGTTGTTTGCAAACTTTTTTGTTGTTGTTGTTCAGGCTGCATTTATTTGAGGAAAAATAAAGTGCAATTATTAGAATTTAAAAGAACTGATTTCTGTTGTAATATATTTTAAAATGTAATTTATTCCTGTGATGTAAAGCTGAATTTTCAGCATCATTACTTCAGTCTTCAGTGTCACATGATCCTTCAGAAATCAGTCTAATATGCTGATTTGCTGCTCAGGAAACATTTCTTATTATTATCAATGCTGAAATCAGCTGTGCTGCTTAATATTTATGTGAAAACTGTGACACGTTGTTTTTCAGGATTCGTTTATGATTAGAAAAATAAAAAAATATGAATCTTTCGTAACATTGTAAATGACTTTACTGTCACTTCTGATCTGATTAAATGTGTTTTTGTTGAATAAAAGTATTAATTTCTAAAATCTTACTGACCAAAACTAGTGTCACTACTGTGTGCGCTTGTGGCGTATCCACTCACTTAAAGATGCGTGAACAATAACACTATTTGAACTTCGCCTGGAAAGTCAAAAGTAAACGAACGTAATTGTGGATTTGCCATTAGCGTGCATTACTCTCCTTCACCTGGTTGTGTTTATCTAGGGGTGTGTGTGTGTGTGTGTGTTTGTTCACGTGTGTATCACATGGCGTGCGTGGCAGCATGTTTTGCGTCACTGAGATGCCCTTCTTCTGCTGCTCGCCTGTGTTGCATTTGTATGTCTGTTTCTACTTGGCTTTATTTAAATGTCTTTTTATTGACCTGAAATGTCTGTCCTAAGGGGAAATGCTCATTAACAGTGGTGTTGTGTAATTAGTCGTCAAGGTTTTATAGACCTCAAACCCAGCCTTTGCCCCATACCCCTGTTTTTCCGCATGCATGTACACACATACTCGGCGTACACTATTTATGTCATCGTTTTCCTTTATTTTTTAATTCCAGTGACTGGTTTTGACAAGGAATAGCAATTAGCCTTCAACTGTCTGTGTCTCTGCCAGCACGACACATATTCTCATCTGAAGGATACACAGTGAAATCATTAGCGCATTAATAAACACTTCCCCATAATGTAATCAGAGCTCCACATGCCTGCATGTATCCAGGACAGGCATTGCATCTGTGTCGCAGAGGGAGCCGTTCCCTGGATGAGAGCGTGCATGCCGTGAGAAAAATGGCAGTCGTAATCGAGTGCTGCTGTTTCCACGGGGGGTTAAATGAGCCGTCGCTGAGCGCTGCGTCTAATGAGTGCTGTGTGTTTAGAGTGCCTGTGTGACTCGAATAACATTTGAGTCCTGCTGCAGCGTTCCCAGTGCCTCTCCAGGGCCATGTTTGAGGAATAATTCTTTGACATTTAATGCTCTGTGGGAATAATTACTGTAGTCAATACATTGGATTCAGATCATTATGGATGAAAGATGGGCGGCTGTCAGGTGGTGCTGAGAGCTTAACGTTCTTTTAGCGGCTCTCCGCTGCCGGAGGGTAAGTTAGCATGACAGGTGTTGGATTTGAGTCTGGTCTGGTTCTGACAGAAACGGGGCCCGGCACATGTGGTGCCAAAAGGCAGATTGAGAAGGGGCTCTCCGTTTCACCGCAAGCCCTTAATCATCACCGCTAGCCGCTCTATGAAAGCAACTTCATCTTGAGCGGCTGTGTTTACTTAATACTGACAGCTAGTTTGAACCGCCAACTCGCTGGACAAGCACTTTGAATGAAAGTAACTAACCTATACGGAATGTGGTCCTCGCCGGGGGAAATGACAGCTTTACTTTAGAAAGATGGGCGGCTGTCAGGTGGTGCTGAGAGCTTAACGTTCTTTTAGCGGCTCTCCGCTGCCGGAGGGTAAGTTAGCATGACAGGTGTTGGATTTGAGTCTGGTCTGGTTCTGACAGAAACGGGGCCCGGCACATGTGGTGCCAAAAGGCAGATTGAGAAGGGGCTCTCCGTTTCACCGCAAGCCCTTAATCATCACCGCTAGCCGCTCTATGAAAGCAACTTCATCTTGAGCGGCTGTGTTTACTTAATACTGACAGCTAGTTTGAACCGCCAACCCGCTTGACAAGCACTTTGAATGAAAGTAACTAACCTATACATATGGAATGTGGTCCTCGCCGGGGGAAATGACAGCTTTACTTTAACACCTCTCTAGGGATGTTGTGAACCGAGCAAAGTTTATACTTTGGAAGATGCTAGGTTTTACGGGACTGAACTTAAATTTACAGTAAAAAGAAGAAAAAAAAAGGTTTATTTATAGAACTGATATAATGCTAATTTTGCATCCTCCTAAAGGACTAAAATCTGTTTCTGTACCCATATAGTATGTAACCTTAATAATACAGGTGGTAAAAGAGAGTTCATTACAAGTAGCTTTTCCATAGGCTGTTATATACACTGGAAAAAAAAAACTTGGTGTAGAAACAATTTTCGCTCAGAAGTTACTATTGCATTTCACAAACATTTACAGAGAAACTGCAAGTAACGCACTGCATTAAAAATACATTTTGAAGTAGAAAAACTGAAATATTTTCTTGTATTACAAAGTCCAGTAATCTTCGAAAACTTCAAACTTTGGAAAATATATATATAATTTTGCTGTGTACTAATATATTCAATTCAAGTTTATTTGTATAGCACTTTTACATATTGTTTCAAAGCAGCTTCGCAGAAAAGGCATGTTTCAAAATATATAGAAGTATATAGAAAGTAAAAAATAGAAACATAAATACAAAGCACTTTTGTGACACTAAAATAATGCAGTAAACTTCAGTTAAACAACATCAGACGTAACATAAAACCCAACTGAACATTACTGATAACAAAAAATTTAAAATAAATATATTTGTTTAAATGAAATATTAAATGTAAAGGATGCAGGGAATTGTCAGTCTATGGTTTTTCACTGTAAAGTATACAATAAATATTCACGTTACCTCCAAAATCTGTACATGTAACAGTATTCTACTGTAAAATTAAAAAAATCTCTATATCCACCTTATTTTGCAACGCAAAAGCGATCTATTTTCTGTGAATGTTTGAGACTTCCGATTCATTAGCCAAAGATTTAATAGAAAATAACAAAAGAATAACAAAGTACAATAAACAGTAAAACTAATTGCGCTTCAAATTACAGCAATACATTCAAATAATATGAAACAAAATACCATTTTGCGATATCACGCAGCATAATAACTGGAAGTGAATGACACCGGAAGCCTCGCACATTCAAGTTACAAATGGCGGCACCCGTTATTACGTTAAGAATAATGTGGATAAAATGTCTAGTTAGGACGTTTTCACCGTATATAGTAAGGGACCTTGCCGTTAACTAATTAACAGGGTTTTGCAGTCTTTTACCGTAAAAATTACACACATTTTTTACTGTGTAGGTTTGAACATTGTGAGTGGCGTTTGTGGTGTTTCTGTGTTGGTTTTAATTTGGAGGTGAGTGACCGTGGCACAGCAGCGTCTAAAGCCTCTCATACTGAACGGATTGGCCGAGTCGCTCCCCTGGTGTTGTGATAACGAGCCACCTTCCTGCAGGGCTAACTGGACCCAGATGGGCCGAGGGGGCCGCGGAGAGATCCCGTTACGGCTACGGCTGCGTAGGCCCCCTCCCGCAGAGACGTTTGAAGTCTCGTTGGTGGACCAGACTGAATAAAGCGCCCTCCTCGATAAGCCACTTGATTGAAAAAAGCCAGCGTGAAGGTTTAAGTGGGAAATACGATCTTGGGCAGGTAACGGTTTGGGGTTTTACAGCCGTCCAAAACAGCAGACATATACTCATACACGAGTGCATTCATGTCACGTGAAGGAATGTGGGCTTTTATCTTCAGACACAACAGTAGTGGTAGTTGTTTTATTGTGGTTCGACTCACTGATTTACACACACCTTCACACACAGGGTAAAAACGGCCCCTCGGTCCCTCCTGCACAGGCTTTCAGTGTGGAGATTGATTTTGTTCATGCAAGGATTTTTATTAAATAACCTCTTGTAGTTTGTGTGTGCGCCTGGCATGGACTTTTACTACACACACACACATGTCTGGTTTGCTATCCTTGTGGGGACTCTCCATAGGCGTAATGGTTTTTCTACTGTACAGACCGTATATTCTATTGCCCTACACCAACCCTACCCCTAAACCTACCCCTCACAGGAAACTTTCTGCATTTTTAGATTTCCAAAAAACTTCATTCTGTGTGATTTATTAGCTTGTTTACCCGTGGGGACCTCAATTTAGGTCCCCACCGTGACACGAGTCCCCATGAGTCTGTGTGTATTCAGGTTTAAGTCCCCACCAGAATAGAAAAACAGGTACACACACACACACACACACACCTCTGCTCTCGGCCCACATGTGGGAACTATTAGCAAGCTACTGTACACCCTGTGTTCCTTTGCCAGTTTCAAAGACTTTCAAATTGTTTGAGCATTGATTGACTCGATTTTACACAGGATCACACACAGGAACATATTTCATAACGTTTTCAGTTATTTGATTAATTTATGATAATATTGGAAATTTGGAAATTTAATTTAAAGTTTAAAGAAGATCTAAACGGACTGTTCCTGGTCTTATTCTGCACAGTTCATCAGTGTGTATATACACACAAAAGCTGTGAAGTTTTTCAGCCCCTCCTCTCCAACCATTTTCATCATCCAATCAAATCCTGATGCATAAAATCAAGTCCCACCCTTCATGTTTTTTTTTCTAATTGAATATCCTGTTGATCATTATGGATAAAATTGGGATGTTTCGTGATGACTAAAAAGCGGCTCCCTTTCTAGTATGCCCTTTATTTGCCCTATACTTTATATATTAGGGCTAAGTCAATCCATTTTGATAAACATTTTTGCAATTCACCAGTGTTTGTTTTTGGAGCAATGCTTCAAAAGTATGAGTTGTCCAAATGATATATTCACTATTAGATTTGTTCATTAGTTGTTCATTGAACAACAGTTGAAAGAATGCATTAAATTAATAAAAATGGACAGTATAGAAATTAATAATGTAACAAAAGATTCCTATTTCAAATAAATGCTGTTCTTTTGAATTGTCTATTCATAAAGAATCCTCAAAAAATGCATCACTGTTTCCAGAAAAATAATAAGCAGCTCAATTGTGTTAATCATTGATAATAATATTGATAATAAATATTTCTTGAGCAGCAAATCAGAATATTAGAATGATTTCTGAAGGATCATGTGACACTGAAGACTGAAGTAATGATGCTGAAAATTCAGCTTTTTCATTATAGGAATTAATTACATTTAAAAAAATATAAAAATTGTATATTAATATTTTAAATTGTAATAATAATTCAAATTTTTTAATGAATATAAAACATTTTTCTTCTTCTTTTTTCCACTTATACATATCATGTGAGTAATGTATGCTTGAGTTTGACCAGCAGAGTTTCCAGCATCTAATAAAAAGAGGCGAAAGCCTACAAATAAATACGTTGTATAATAATTACATTTTCATAATAATAATTGCTGTTCTCTCTCTGACTTTCGCTCATCTTCTCCAGGCTGAGACCGCTCCTGATGGTCCTGATGTGGGCTACGGCTCGTTCCATCAGCAGTATTGGTTGGATGGCAGAATAGTAGCCGTAGGAGTTCTGGACATCCTGCCCTCCTGTGTGTCGTCTGTGTACCTCTACTATCACCCCGAATTCTCCTCGCTCTCACTGGGCACCTACTCTGCTCTCAGGTTGGTCAGCCAATCATAAATTCTCTCTAATCTTTGAGCTTTTTAATCTGACTTGAAATTAAGTGTGAATCTGCTCTGTGCTGAAACTAGTTTGAGCCTTTTGGTTACCAGCCTAAACCTTTAACCACTAGGCTACACTACCTCCCAACAAAAGTTTAACAGCATTAATGCAGCAGATGAACAGCACAGGAATCCATCCTGATTCTGCTCTCCTTTATATTGTTGTCTCTGAATATGTTTTCCAACAAGTTTCCAGTGGTTGTGCTGGTCGATCAGAGAGTTTGAATGCATATTAAATTCAAAACACAACCATACACACCCACAGGCCTATATTTCGTTGTCTTTCACATATATGTGTACATATTTCACATGGGCTGCTCACCTGATTAGGTTACACTTTACAGGAGATGCCAGATGTGTGTGTGTGTGTGTGTTATACTCTGTTTTGGGTGTCTGGAGGCCTCGGGAGCCTCATTTCTCACAGACAGAAGAATAAAAAGAAGGCTAAGGGAGAGAAAGTGTTGTGCGTGGGGCTCTGTTGTGCCCAGAGCAGCTGGTGTCAGTGTCTTTGTGCTGTTGTGTGTCAGTGTGATCGAGTGAGACTGTCTGAGAGCAGGATGTGACGCTGTTCAGCAATGTGTCTCCATGCTGCGCTGGACGGTAAAAATAATGATGAATGGCCGGCAAAGATAAACAAAGTGAGTTTCCTCCGAGTCCTAAACGTGCTGAAAATTCATTTAGAGTGTTTTGGTGATTCTTATTAAAATTAGCTTTTGTCATATTTAACCCCTAAATTAAAAAAAAATAATAATATTTTTTTTTAAGATCAATAAAGGATTATTTAGATTTTTTTTTATTTAGAACATTGTGTCTGGACATTTTACCATATTTTATTTAATATTTTTAGAACTGATTTGAATTCCCATTATATTAATAGTGGAAACATTTATATATAATTTTATTAGCAGTATATCATTTTTATATTTTATATATTTTTAATTTATTATATATATATATATATATATATATATATATATATATGTACAGTATAAATTAAAGGCAGTGCAACAAATACTGTCATAATGTACAAATACTTCAGTTTAAATACATTTTTTTATTGAATATGGTTATAGGAATTTGTTGAAAATTGTTGTTGAAAATGTGCTTATTTGTCATAATAATAAAAAAAAGTTCTTCCTTTTATTAAAAAAAAAATAAAAATTTATTTATTTATTTTCTTTTGGTGTGAAATATGGCCCATGAAATGTCATATTCTTGACGTTTCATCAAATTCTCCCTCTTTTTATTCAGTCTATTTTTCTTGTTATTCAGTAAAAATATCTTTTAAACATCCTTCAAAGAAAATACATTTATTCAAAAAAATGATATTTACCATTTTAAGAAACTTTACCCATGTATATGTTGTGTTGCTTCATTGACTGCAATTTTTTACATCTCCTATAATAGTTAGACAAATATGGCCCTCACATCTCCTGCTCTGTATGTGTGTGTGTGACATTAATATTAAGCAGACGTCTTGTCCGTGGTGAGCGCTGTGGCATAATTGGCTTGTGTAGGGGTGTCGGAGCGCTGAAGAGGAGATAATGGAGGCTTCAAGCTGCTGCCAGCGCTGAGCAGGGAGGGGGCTGCCCTTTCTTTCTGTCCCTCTTTCTTTCTCCATCTTTTTGTGAATGGGTTCCACAGCCTCTTCTTATCCGTCTCTCATTCATGGAGAGCCAGGCTTTGTCACCAGGGGATGGGAACCCGGGAACCTGGCAGCGACCGCATGACCTTCCAGCACCTCGCTGTTTGTCGTCGCTCCTTTTCCCTACACTATTTTTCTCTTTCGTTTTCCATCACTTTTACTTTGCTTTGGCTTCTCTCTTTCTTCCTCTCTTTTTACCGCATGGAAAAAAAAAGATTTCTCCTCCTAATTTTTAAGAAGACCGAGAGTATGAGGTGTACAAAATGCAGAAGAAGAGAGAAGAAAGAGCAGGATTTATTTATGGAAAAGAGTAACATGTTTGTACAGGGAATAAAGCGAGAAGTGAAAAGAGAGAGAGAGCAAGAGCTTGTTGATTGCTTGTAGGAGGAAGTATAAATCTCCTCTATTTTTCCTCCTGTTTTTATTTTCTCAGTTCCCTTTTGTTTTTCTCCTCCCCTTCCTCTTTTTCTGCACTTCCTTCCTCTTTTTCATACACATGCAAATGGCTGTTTATGAGGGAAACAGTTGATCTGGTCCGTATGCAGCACGTTTGGTGATGTTTTATCTACTTTAAGCATCATATCCTGATAGTAGTATAATTAAGAACTGTTAATAGTTATTAAAGTTATTAATCAAGCTTAATCTGATCTTTCTATAGTTATAAAAAAAAAAAACCCTGAATAAATCAGTTTTATTGTCAGTTGCTTCTTTTTCCCTAGGTTTAGTGTCATATCTTTAAAAAATCCCTTTAATATTACACTTGACATGTCTCGATGAAGCATATTTGAATGTAATTTCAAGAGATTTCAAAGCAGTATTTCTGCTGTTTTTCTGTCTTTTCTTGCACAAAGCTATTGTATGTCTTCAGAATATAGCAAAACAAGTGATATGGATCACGTTTATGCTTCTTTTTATTTTTTACATCTTAGCCCAAATCCCCCATTATGAAAAAGAGCTTCTTGGACATTTTGCAAAATATCTCCTTTTCTGTTCCATAAAAGTAAAAAAGTCACATAAAATGTTACATAAATCTGTCAAACTACATAGATAAAATAAGTGAATGTTACCATGATTTCATCGCGAAAACAACTGATAATTAAACGGTGGATATTTGTAGCATTAAATCAGCATTATATTGTCTTTGTAATGAGCAGTTTGAAGTTTTACAACCTTGAGCACAAAGTTATTAATGTCAAACTAACTGGACAACATTGCATGACCACATACACACGCCTGTTTCTGCTCTCATTCTCTCTGCAGGGAGATTGCCTTCACCAGGCAGTTGCAGCAGCAGTCGCCCAAACTTGCCTACTACTATCTGGGTTTCTACGTCCATTCGTGTCCCAAGATGCGCTATAAGGTACGTTCATCTCTTTCTTGCATTGGTCAGTGTCACCTAACTGAACACTGATGTACTGCAATGCCATATTGAACATGCACAGAAAGAAATGAAAGCTTTTGCTTGATGTCATGCTGCATCCACATAGATAGGTGGCAGTATAGAGACCACGACTACTGTAGTTTCATCCAGCAAAATGCATTTTTATCTTGTGCATCTACCTAAAATGGTTTCATAAATCTTCTGGTACCATTCTGAAGTGAAGTTTAAGATAAATTGTGCTGCTTAGTCTCTCACTTTCAAAACTTTTTCCCTAGACTGCACTTTGCTGAACTGTAAAACAATATGCATCAAAATAAGTCTTTATAAAGGGTGCAACTATCCACTTTCTTAAATAGTTTATATGCATGTATCCTCTCTATCCCACTGTTGGGCAAGAGGTAGGCCGCAGTGGTTGTATAATCAACAGGGTGGCTTTCTGTTTTGGAGCTGAAGTAGACACCTGTTAAAGGTGTTAATCGTCTGTCGTCCGCCAGAATCACACCTCTCCGCTCGGTTGCCGCTGTGATCTGTTTCTCTCATTACTGCTCCCCAAAGACTCACCCTGGAGCAACCGCAGTGCCACACTTCTGGAAACCTGCCTCCGCCACAGGAAATATCTCTGCCTCCTTCCTTTATTAGACCTGTGAGATGGTAGATACAGTATAGGAGGAGCAGTGTTCAACTTATTTATCGGCTATTGTAGTATTTATTATTATTTTGAATTAGCTTTTATTTTAAAATTTTTGGTTTTCATTTAATTTTTTTAATGTTTTTAAATACTTCTATTCAGCATTTTTAATCTATTTTTATTTAATTTTAATACTTATTTCAGTTAGTTGTCAAGGCAACATTTCTAATTTTCGTTTACTTTTTATGAGATTAAGGTTTTTATCTAATATTAATTAGGGCTGTCAAATCGAATATAAATATATATTACATATTTTTCTTAAATATATACATGTATATGTGTGTATTTATATATACATAAAAATATACACAGTACACACATATATTATGTAACACAAACTTTTATTTCAGATGTGATTAATCGCGTTTAATCAATTTGACAGCCCTAATATTTATACTTTATTTTATTTAAGCTTTAATTCAATTAATAAAAAAAAAATTAAGCAGTATTTATTTTTATTTGACAATAACAACCCGAGATGAGTGAGGAAATACCATTGAAAATGCTTTATCTCTTTCTTTTTCTTTTCTTGTTTGTTTTGTATTTGAAACCTCTCGTTACTTGTATAGCTATGCATATCTTAGAATGGCCTACAAGAGGTGTTACACATCAGTTTATCTGGTTCACTTACGTTTGAGACACCTTCAACTCTAGACGAGCATTCATTTCTATGTAATTCTAATTCATCAGCGCAATCTCAATATCGCAATCGCATGCCTGCTTTTCAGCCCTTAAGCCTCTTGGTGCGGACAGACCACAGAAAATGTCGAGGTATGCTTCCAGATTTGGCTTATTGAGTTTCTGACACCGTTAGCTGTTCCTGCAACGTGTTCCATAGCCTCACACGTGGCTTGTAGATGGTTTTGCGAACAAGGGACTTGGAGCCGTGTTCAAGCTGGGCTGCAGGACTACGGAGGATGACAGTAAAGCAGTCCAGCAGGAACTCTATGTAAGTGCTTGCACAGGTGTGGCTGAGCGAAAAGCGTGTTGGCCGTCGTTTGACTGAGACGAGGGAGATGCTGGGAAACTGAACAGCTGATTCATGTACAGTGGACGGAGATTGTGAGAGAGGAGGAGAATGTAAATAAAAGTGACGGACCGGCCTAGAGCTGAAGGCAAGGAAGAGGGAACATATGCATCTGTTGAAGCTATTAGCGGTTGAGGAAGAGGTCAGAGCTACTGTAGTTCATGGTGTCACCTGATAGTGTTATCAGAGAGATAGACGGCTCTCCTCTTTATTTAAACATTCCTCTCTTTAAAGGAATAGTGCACCTAAAAATTATGATGCTGTCATTTACCCATCCATTGCTCTGAAATCTCATTTATGCTTATGTTCAATTCAAAAATGGCTCCTCAAGACATACTGCACCATCTCATCATCATCATCATCAACAACATCACCTGGCATATTTGAATTTGAGATTTCAGAGCACTATCTCTACTGTTTCTGTCTTTTTCTTGCGCAAAGTTATTGTATGTCTTCATAATATAGCAAACAAATTATATGGATCGTTTTTATGGTCCTTTTTTGTCATTTTTGGACAAAACATTTTTTAGACATTTTTCAAAATATCTAAGATGCAACCACTGATCGATTTTTCACATTGGAGCTCAGCTCAAGTTATTCTATTGCATGTGTTGTTTATCTACCCTTTTATTTGCAATTTACAATTATTCTATGAAACAGGTGCCTTTTCCAGTTAATATGCTAAATTTGATTAAGATTTTAATTTTTTTTAAAAGTGGTGTTATGTCACACAAATAGTGTGTATTCATCGCAAATTATCCACGGAAACCTGGCTGAATGACGCCATTCCAGACAGCGCGCTACAATTGCCGGGCTTTCAGCTGTTTAGAGCAGACCGCGACGCAAAATCAATGGGGAAATCGCGCGGGGGCGGGACATGTTTTTACATCACGTGTGTCGTGCTCGTTCAGCGGCCTCGTTTTGCTTCGACGGCTTTCAGCCTCACCCTGCTTCATACTACGACGTTAATAAATCATTAGCTCATCCATGAACATGATTTCTGCCCGAGTGCCGTCGGATTGCGTCGGCTGTGGGGATGAAGACGACAACTCCCATGATTCCACACTCAGTCACGGCGTCATCAAACTACGCCTTTGTTTCTTTGTTTGTTTTGGTATACGCACCCTCTAGCGGCGAAAACTTTCATATTGTGCCTTTAACCCTCTGAGAACACTTGGTACCTTCACGGTCAAAAGGGACCAAAGCCTTGAAACGTTTTTTTTTTTTTTTTCAGGAAAATCAATCTAATATGTTTTTGTTCAGTACATTTTTTTTTATTATTATTTAGAATTTTGGGGAGATTTTATGATACTATGCAATATTTATAAAATTTTTATCAGCAATTTTTTACATTAAATGTTTTTTGTATTTCCCATTCATTTCCTATGCCGGTCAGTTTTGATCATGAAGGTACCAAGTGTTACTTTTTATTTTTTCACCCTTTAACATCCATATATATATTTCTATCATGAGAACTCTCAGAAGATTTTAGCATGGTAATGGATATGACAATGCATATAAAATAACCAGATCTATACAGGTGGAGGGTTTCAGAGGAACTCTGAAAGCATGCTGCAATGCTCAAGCGAATGCTAATCAGCCATTTAAATGTAAGCAACAAGCTCATTGGCTACATATGCAAAATAAACCAATCAGCTTGTGACAGATTGTTTAATGCTAAGAATATCATCAGTTTCTGTTAAGGACCCATCAGCCTGCGTCATCTAGAGTTTCATGACAAAACTTTGCATATATATATATATATATATATATATATATATAATTAATTAATTATTTATTTATTTATTTTTTGTGTTCACATAGCTAATGCGACAAAAGTCACCTAATGTCATCTCATTCCGATGATGCAAAAAATGTAAAGAATTCAACATTTTTTGGTCAAAAGTGATAGAAGAGGCCCAGAGGGTTAATAATACATTTATAATGTTCATTATGCCTTCAGAAAGGTAGCAAGGCTGACATTTTAACATCGCTCATATTTCTAAAAATATGTAACCTATATATTCAGTAAAACATATAACTATATATATAGGCTGCTAATTTCATTATGGCTTTTTTATTTATGTAATAGTTAATTTCTTTAAAGTATTCTTTAAAAAAAATAAGATTTCATTGTGATATATAAATGTATATTTATTTAGGAGCTACACAAATGGCACCTGTTTAGTAGAATGATCCATGGTCTTTAATCACAGCTTTGTTATTGATTGTTTTCATATCAGTGCTGCACTCTATTAGAAACCGTGACATAATTTTCCCATCTGAAAGCTTTGAGCATCTCTGCAATGCGGCAATGAGTGTAAAGCCACTGGGTATCTTAATTCACTGTTTCTCTGCACTGCAGTATCGTGTTAGTCTACTGAAACTTTCAACCTCAGGCTGTATCTGCAGTCCTGGAAGTTGTTTGTGCGTCTGTCTTTCGCTCTGTCTCTGTCTTTGTTGGACTCTCTCCGTGGAGCCGGTTTCTGCAGAGCTGTGTGTGTGGAATAGTGAATAGAGCTCGGTTGGAGCCCAGCTCTCGCTCTTCTGTATGGGACAGCTCTCACATCAGAGGATGAGTGCCACTCACCCCTCTCATTCACCTCCTGCCATTCTGCACTGAGAGATTAGTCTGGGGTTAGAAGGTTATCTGTTTCTCACCTACATCCAGAACCCACCTTTTCAAATCGAGTAGTTCACATAAAAATCGACTCGTGTGATTCCAAATCCAAATGCTGCTTGTTGCACTTTTCAATGCAATTTGCATTAAATGAGAACTGAAGCTTTCAAGCTTCGAAAAGGGCACAAAAGCATCATTAAAGTATCATCTGAACCCATACGATAGCTTTATGTGAGAAACAGACCAAAAAACACTCAGAATTGTCCTCAATTTCAGATTCTGAACGTTCTGTTCATATGAATCCTGAACACTGCAATCCAATTCATATATATTTTCTTTTGCATGCATTACATCTATTCTGAACCAAACTTCAGCTTATGCGCATGCCTTCTAAAAAGAGATCTAAAAAGAAAGCTAACATATATGTCAAAAGAGCTTTTTTTTTTTTAGCAAATATTCAATATTCAGTCTCATCCACTGATCAGTTCATGAGATATGTCAATTCAATTCAATACAATTCAGATTTATTTGTATAGCACTTTTCACAATACTCATCGTTTCAAAGCAGCTTTACAGAAAATGCATGTGTCTACTTTACAATTTAGAGTGATCTATTATCAGAGGTGACTGTCCAAGTAATGTCC